CGGGACCTACTACTGCGAGGCGGAGAACCGGGCCGGGGCCGCGCGGCGCAGCGACGCCGTGGAGCTGGCCGTGAGCGGTGAGTGCCCGGGGCAAACACCTGGCGTCCTTCTGCAGGGGACAGAACCACGCTCCTGCTCCCTTCCCTGAAAGGCGCGGTCACGAACAGCCTTGGCCTTCTGTGTTCTGAAGCACTTCCCGTCAGTGGATTTCTATCCTGTTTCATTTCCCGTATTCGATTTCCCTCCTCCTCCTCCTCCTCCTCCTTAGAGGAACAGCTCTTTTCTGATGCAAAAGAGGTTTTGTGTTCAAAACATATTTATTCCTCTTTGGCTTTTTTAAAGTTCTCTCTGTGTAATGTTGCCTGTTGCAGTTTAGCAAATTTAGATGAGGAATCAGGACTTGATTTTGAGGAACATACAAGGAGGTAACTCAGCAGATGAAAAAATCAGTCTGGCCTTTGCTTGTCCTGATCAGTTTCGTGTCTGGGGAAAACACCACAATCTACACACACGCTGTGCTCTGATGTACCCAGGCTCTGCAAGATGCTGCATGATGGATGCCTTGTGCAAGACTCGCTGCTTTCCTGGGCTGGTCACTCAGTCATCAGAGCCGTGATGCCTGAGATTGCAGAGCCAAGCACAAATACCACACGGTGACCTTTGAAAGAGGCAAAGCCTACTGAGCTCCCAGTGGAACAAAGGTTACGGCTGAAATGACGAGTAGTTTCTCATAGCAGTTGCACATAAGAGCATACATCAAGGGAACGGGAATTAATGACAGCCACGTTCGTTAATGCTGTTAGCACACAGTCCCTGACCTTGTCCTGCAGCTGGTGGCTGGTTCCTCCTGGCCTCATCCTGCCCGTGGGGAAGTTCTGCGTGGCAACGGCACCACAAACGCTGTCAAACTCCTGGGTGACCCTCTCTCTCATTCCCCTTGCAGATCTGCCCACAACCACAGCAGCCTCTTGGAGTGATGTGGGAACCTCTGAGACACGCCACCCAACCACAGGTCAGGGGAACAGCAGCTATGGCAGACGGTCGGGACAAGAAGCTGGGGGAGGGTTTGACACTAGGGCTCAGCAGTGGATTTTGTTGCTGGGGAATACAGTCTTGACAATATTGTATTTTAGTCCATATGCCTCAGCTTTTCTACATTCAGAAACATTGAGGTTAACATCCTGCTTTCTTCAACCTCCGGTCTGCAGAGGGCTTTAACTTGCTGGTAGGGAGGTTGTGTCTGCATGAGAGGCCTTGTGCCTTCGGGCTGCTAGAAATACCTTCTCCTAACTTGTAGACCATATAGGATGTTCTGGCTTCTGTTCTTCTTAAAAGGAATTGTTTGCCTGTTTTCTGGTCTTGAATGAAGCCATGGATGTAGGAGGCAGAGCTAGGATCACTAGTGGCAGATACAAGTGATGCAAAAGCTGCTTCAGACCTGATTGGAAATGCTCTATCCTGCCAAGGACAGTTGCTTTGAGGGAGGTCTTGTCATTTCCAGTTTGGTTTTGTGGGATGTGGGAATTTAGACCTGAGCTAGAGTAGCTCTTCTTGTGGAAACTTTGTAATTTTGGGTTATGTTCCATTTGAATTTATAGTGCTCCACCCACCACAGAGCAGGTTGTGAGAATCAGCAGCTAGGGAGCAGAAGCTGAGGAAAGATGTAGTCAACTGTGATTTCCCTTTACAGGGGGGAAAAAAAAAAAACAAAAAAACAAAAAAAAAATCCTGAGCTGGTGTTCAGAGGCACCTCAGCGACCTCTTGGACTCCACAGGCTCAACCACTATTAGAGGTGTTTGGGTGTGTGTAGATGGACATGTCTATACAGATATGTACTGTGTTTATAAGTATAGATAGTTCGTGGATATATAGATAGCACATACACACTACAGTACCTATCTAGTGTGTATATATAGTACTATATGTACTTTCTGTATGATATAGTGTATATATAGTACTCATTTCTAGAGTTTGCCTGGTTTTACTGCCTTGTAAAGGTTATGGAAACATCCTCTTTGATCCTACAGCTACAATCCAGGATCTGCTGGTGCTAAAATAAGGACTGGAAATGCCTTGTGAGTCTCTCTCTCCTGTTTGTTTTGCAGATCTGCCTGTAATAGTAACAACTTCTGAGAATGCTGAGGGATATCCAGAAAAGAACTATACAACTCAGAGTAAGTGGAGAGCAAAACAAAGCTAAGAGTGACATTAGGAACAGCAGTCAGTAGTTTCAGCCCCAAAAAGAGTGTTCTGCCTTTTGGCTCAAAATTTTATTAATGGCTGCTCTCAAGGCACCTAGATGATTTGAGTCTTTAAAAGACTCTGGATGTTGTTGGTTTTTGGGAGGGACAGCTTTCATAGTTGGAGCATACAGAGTTGATCTCTTTGAGTGTCAAAGCTGGAGCAGCAGAAAAGCCTCAGTATGACTGCAGCAGATTTTCTACAGCTCCTCTAGCTTTGCAGTGCTGTGGTAGAATTAAACATGTTCCAAATACAACTGAGCAGTATCATAGAATCCTTTAGTTTGGAAGAGACCTTTAAGATCATCAAGTCCAACCATCAAGCCAACACTACTAAGTCCTCTGCTAAAACAGATCTGTCAGGGTTGGAAGGGACCACAAAGATCCCCCAGTTCCACCCCCCCTGCCATGAGCAGGGACACCTTACACTAGATCAGGCTAGCTGAGACCCTTTATTTTGTGATGTCTGGTGCAGCTGTTTTGCCCAGCTCCTAGTTCAGAGATCCTCAGCATTAGGAGGCTCTGCTGGTTGTCTTGATGGCCCCAGTCTCTCGGCGAGATGTGTGCAGTGTGACTCTGGCTCACACCCCTGCCCCCATTCAGAGCTCCATCAGCGAGGTGCTGTTAGGAAGGGCCTGAGCAGGGGCAGGTACAGGCAGTACAGCCCCACGTGCCCATGACAGGGCTGGCTGCTGTGATGTGGCAGTGCTTCTCTGTCTGAGGGTCTTCTGCCCTATTGTTCCAGATTTCCAGAGGACTCACCTGCCCCTGTACCTGATCATCCTGATTGCTGTGGTTTCTGGTGCTGTGGTTTTCCTTGTCATCTTCCTTATCATTTGCATTAGAAAGCCCAAGGACTGTGAGTAGAATGTCCTGGAAAACTTGAATGTGCTGTGCATGCCCAGCTTGGTTTTACTTTGAGGGTTTGGGGGATGGGGCTGATACTATGCTCACCACTACTGGCAGCACCTCTGGCACCTGCACCATGCAGGCACTCAATCAAAACGTGCCTGGAGACTGAGGAGGCAGAGCAGCCCCTTTTTCCTGGGTGACACCAGCCAGGGGGACCCAGCAGACAGCCCAGCTGTGCTGTACTGGGTTGAGCTTGCCCACACCATGCCCACCCCAGGTGGGCTCCGGGGGCATCTTGGCCTCTGCTCCCTCTCCCTGGGCTCCCCATGGTCACTGGGGGACAGTTGCTTCCCTCCAGTCCTCAGGACACCCAGTGGCTCTGGCTCCCACCCACTCCACCACCTCAGAGGATCAGATCTCTCAGGGTGGCTGGGAGTGAGTCAGTCGTGTCCTGCTGCTCCAGAACACACGTTTGCACCAGCCACTGCTCAGCAGTCCCCTCAGCTGGTACCCAGAGAAGAGCTCACCATTAATTCTCCCTGCTCCACATGGATCTGTTTCCTTCCTAGTCTTCAGACATGGGATCTATTTATTGAACACGTTTATCTTTCCTGCACTGACACCAGAAAACTCCTGACCAAACATTTTCTCAGAGCCCCTTCCTCACTGATTGCACTTGGCAGGGTGCAGAGAACAGGCTGGGCATTGGGTTGTGGGTTTTTAACCCTGTTTCTTTAACAGAAAGACAGCTGTTTCCTTCCCACAGCTCTATGCCACCAATTAATAATAATAATCAAATACTCCTTTTGCCTTTTTTTTTTTTTTTAAGGAACACAGAATAACCTCTTTCTGAATTCCTCTTTATGGAACTTCTAATGAAGAGGAAAATTGTGGGAACTGGGAACTTCTAGTTTCTAAACGCAATGTCACTTTTGACCCTGGGCCAGTTGTTTTAACCCAGTTGTGCTACAGCTGGGATATGGGTTGTTTTAATTTTCTTGGACTGATTCCTGGGAATCTGAGTCATCACTCACCTAACATGATCTTGAAGGTTCCTATTTTTATTCTCTCTTCAGAGGTCACTTTTTTATATCAAGATGACACACGGTAGAAATTTTTTTAATAATATAAATGAAAATTATTGACACACATTTCTGATTATTCTTTTCCAGCTGCAGTCTATGAAGTAAAATTGTGAGTATAACCCTTATCTGACCTATTGATGAGTCTTTGGGGACTGTATCAGAGCAGAAAAAACCCACAGTGCTACCTAGCTGACAACATGAAAGTCTCTTAAGCAGTATGGAAGAAGAGGTTCAAAGTTAGCTCAGTAGTACATTGTACTGGTGATCTGTGGGCTTTCCACATCAACAAACAATGTAGGAAGGAAGATCTTTTCCTTTGTTCATTTTTATGATTCTAATATTGCAAGAGCTGTTTATTAACTCCTCAACCCAGTGAGGCCTATTGAAGATCATTGCCAAGAATAAACTCCCAATGTCTTTTCAAATGCAAAGAACAGGACTTGCCCTTCTAGAGAGGTAAGGCTCCTGATGCAGATTGTACTCTGATATATCCAGAGTATAATCTGGATTTATCCTCACCACTTAGACATACCTGTGTACCTTGCAAAGAGCAGTAGTTTAGTTGTGCCATTCCAAGAAATGGTGACAATTCCTGTGTTGCTTACATACCTTTTGCTGCCTCTGAAACTCCCCCTGGACTGGAGGTAACGTTGCTGTAATGTCCAAGGTCCTCTTGCTACCTGGAAGCAAAGGACAAGATTGCCTCCTTCAGAACACTGCCATATTCCCATGACCCATTACAAGGGTTTGAATCAGACCACAGTCCTGCTCAGAATTGTAATGGTTGGGAGATGCTTTGTCTCCTCTGGCTGCAACTCCTCTTTCACATTGTATTTTGATTTCAGCCATAACTCAAGAACGAGAGCTTCTTCAGTGGGTCATTATGAGGATTTCATCATCTCCACTGAAAACAACTACGTGACAGAGCCCATGAAAACCATAAGCTCTGAAGAAATAAATGCAAAAAACAATGACTGTGACTGTGTTGGAAACACCCAGGAATCTGAATATGAGGTTGGGGATACTGTATGCAAACCAACAGTGCTCTACAAAGGGCAGTCCTGAAGAGTACCTTCACCCAGGCAAAGTTTATATTCCTATTCACCCTTGCTTCTGAAAAATAGGCTGGACAAGCAGTTTTTGCTCCTCCATGATCTGCAGAGGCTTAACAATCTCCACAGTGAAACTGCAAACCTCTTTAGGGGCTTCAGTTATAGACTGCTGCATAGGTCTTCTGATTTTGCTTTTCCTGGTTCCCTTTCTCCACGTATGGAGGGTGTGCAGGTCCCAGGCCAAGAGCACTGTACTAAGATTATTGCTTCACATGACCAAAAGGATCTGCAAAAAGCCACATCCACAGATGTAAAACAAAATGAGGGATCTGAGCGGGGAGGGGGATATTGGTGACACAGACAGGATTATGGCCCCCAGATTCACTGTTTGCACTCAGGAGAGATTTGCATCTGCACTTCTCTGCAAGCACCAGCTCAAAGCTCACGAGCATTCAGAAAGGACTATTGGGTGCTGTCAGTAAAGGCATTGTACTGCAATAGAGAAAAGGATTGTGATGCTGTAAAAACCCATGGAATGCTTCCACCTTACGGATATTTGCAGGTGTCCCTGCCTAGAAGGGTTTAGCAGAGCTAGAAAAGTTAACAAGAATGACAATAAAAGATGATTAGTGGCACTTCTGTGCAAATGCATTATACTTCCCCAGCCTGGAAAAAAAGAGAAGAATGAGGCAAAATGAGCCAAGTGTACTCACCACGACCAGTGTAGGGAGGATGAATAGTGACTAATTACAATTTCTCCAAGGAGACAAGGAAGCAGACATTAGCTAATATTATCTGGTAGCACTTTTAAAGTGGGGGGAAAGTACTTTTGTGCAATACAGAGGTAAGCGTGGAACACAACGCTACTCATCCAGTGCTATGAAAACCCAAAATACAGAGATGTCAAATGAGAAATTAGAGGAATGAATGATATAAAAGTTCACAAACCACCAGACACACTTTACAGGTTCTTATCAGCAACCTTACACTTTCCCTCTGAACTTCCTGTAAAACAAGTTTTTATTTCTTTTTGTTAAGAATGTACTTAAAAATCAGTGGCTGGGATCTCTTGATTTCAAAATTGAAAGGGAACAAACAGCAGCTTTCATTGGTGATGATGTCTTGGAAAAAAAGGTCAATGTGCACATGCAGTGAATTGCCAATGTGGAAAAGTGGATGAAAACCATTAAACTTCAGGGCTACAAAGTTCAGAGATTGTTACATTTCTCTTTGTTTTGCCTATAGAAGTGTGTGTGTGAGAATGCCTGTGCGGGCCCCTGGCAATGACACTCCCAGGAGCACATTAGGGCCCTCCACTTGAAAGCAGAGGAATTATTGTGAACCTGCTAGAGTTTGGGATATGTTTGGGATGTTGCATCAGGTGATGTTTGCAGACTGTAGTCAGACACAGTCTAGGGAACAGTTAGCTTGCTTTCTGCTCTCCTTTCATCTTCCTTTTCAGAGAGAAATTGTGAATTTCACACGAGGTGAAGAAGCAGCCCTAAAGGTTCTGGGGCAGTTGACCCGCCGACAGTCAGCCAGCCACCCGGGGTGTCAGTGCACAGGCTGGCTTTGCAGGGGGTGAGCTCTCAGCTGGGAGCACAGTGATGCTCAGCACGCTCAGGTTGCCTCACTGTGGCTGCCCTGGCTACACAAACAGGGGCTTGGCTCTGGCTGCACAAGCTGACTTGCACTAATGCTCATCTGAGGTGGTGCGATGTGGCCAGAGCTCTGGGCTAAGAAGAAGAGAGCAATAAGGCAAGACAGAGGAGAGCAAGACACTGTGGAGATCAATGTTTGAGGAACTACTGTTCTTCATGCTAATTTTAGCTAAATAGTCATTTTTTACCCCCTGTAATTACAGCTTCAGGAAGTCTTGCATGTCCGGTTCAGAAAAGAGTCACATCAGCAGTTTTAGTTGGGCTTTCAGCTTGTTCCAGGGCTTGTTCCCCAAATCCAGATTGTTTCAAAGTCTTCTGCACAGGAGATAGTCTGCTGGGACAAGCTTCTATTGCCAGATAGGTACTGACTTTTGGATGTGCTTTTAAAGGCACTGCTGTAGTGTATCCCCAGAACCTCTGCTGGACTAAAGCCCCACTGCTAACACCTCCCTAGGAAACCCTGTGTGCTCACAGAGCAGAGAACACGGTGACTTTTGCCCGTGGTCTGGACCATCGCAGCAGAAACGTGTTCCAAGATAGTCTGTGATGGTGTAAAAGTGAGAACACCAGACAGTGAGCATCCAATCACCAGCAGATGGTAAAAGCTTGTGTACCATTCAGTGTGGATGACTCCAGCGTGTTCACAGCTCATTTCCCAGGCACCTTCTCCATGGCCCCGGTCAGTGTAACTGCACCTGTATCTGCACTGCAATAGGGTGCAGCTTCTGGGCAAGTGAAATATGGAGCTCTTGCAGGGAAATTCCTATCACAGTGAAAAGCAGGATGCATTGGGTGTTTTTTTAAAAAAAAACACCTCTGCACATTTTCTGTTAAAACAGAAAAAAAGCAGTAAAAGTGGCATCCTAAGTTTTCTAGTCTAAAAGGCTCAGGCTGTTTGGCAGAGAAGCTAGGGCTTGTTCTCTTCCTCACTCAGGCCACACGCTGACCTGCTTGGAAAGTGAAGAGGGTTGCCCTCAGAGAGTCTGCTGCCACAGAAGCTGGTACATGCATATGGTGGAAGAGCTGAGTACCATCAGCAGGAGAAAACACTGAGGAAATGGAATTGAGCATCAAACAGCTTGGTGTCTACCTCATGCTTCTGCAAGTGATCACACTCAGACCTGTGCCTTCCCATTTCTGGATGCTCTTCTGCTGACCACTTACCCAACATAAAATGATATTATCATTAACAGGCAGGCCAGAAACCAAACTCCTCCCTGCACTCCCACAGGGTACACCAGAGATCAGAGTGCCAGACAACCAGGGGTAGAACGAGTTAATGCACTTACTCACCACAAAGGGTATGAAGAAAGGAGCAAGCTGGCCAGGGACCCATGCCATGGGAGATGGAACCAGCCAGACAATGACTCCAATTATATAGTAGTTTCCCAGATGGAAACTGAAAAATCTTGCTCTGCCATCCTCAGAATTCCCCTTGCTATGAAGATTCAGGGAGCCCCTTCTGATAGCCAGAATCCCCACACAGCACATCCTCTGCATAAGCAGACACCCCCCTGCCAGCAGAGTCAGCTCTTATAGAGGTGGCTCCTTGCCCCACCCTCAACTTAATGCTGAAGGTGGGGGCACCTGGGGGTGATCTCCTCATCAGGTCCCACCCAAGGCTGGCCAGACCCAGGGTGCAAACCAATCAACCAGGAGGGGCTTTCCTGCCTGCTTGTGGGCATTGTCCATATGCCAGCCCTCCTTCAGGGCTAGGGGATTAAACCCCAGCACTTCAGATGCCCAACTTTGAGGCTCCATGGCACAAGAGAGAGAGATGCTGAGCACCCTGCTGAGCAGTGTCACCACACACAAGCCAGAGGAAACTGAATTCACGTTTCACAAGCATCCCCCAGTCTGCTTTCCCTTGCCACAGAGTGCTTGACTGTGTAGTCCTCATAAAGCTCTTTCTCTGTGAAGTGAATGCAAATGGGGAAGAAAAGAGGGGGAAAGTAAAAGGGAAAAAAGAAACACAAAATTATTAAAAATAATTAAAAAAAAAAAGAGTGCTAGACAGACAAGTCAAGAGAATGGCAAGAGCAAAAGAAGTGGGTGTGGACAGGGCAATGTGAAATGGAACTGGGCACATCCTTACAGTCTTTGTCCATCCTTTATCATTCACCTAAGTCAGCAGCGAAATGGACTCGTGATGCTTCAGAAAGAGGATCCTGGATGACAAAGGACAGAAGAAAGGGAAGTGTTCTTCACTTGCATTCTGGTCCCAGGAGCGTGGGGGTCTCTCACAAGTGCAGGGCAAGGAGAAGGGGCCTGCAGCTCGGGGGGCATGGGAGTTGCTGTGTGGACAGCAGTGCTCACGATGGCTTTCAGCAGCGGCAGCGGTGAGTAAAGGCTTCAGCAGATGAGAGCAAAACTCAGAGTGCTGAGAAGGTGGGGGAAATATGTTTAATTATAGTGTCTGATTTTAAAAAAATTCTTGAGTGTGGGGAAATCTTTCATTTCTTGCATGAAAAACAGAGCCTGAGAATTCACAAGGGTCTCCTTTGGTATCAGATACCACAGGTGCTTCCAAGAGTGGAGCAAATGGGGCAGTATCAAGCTAAAGCTCCTATGTCCCAAAGCAAGAATAAACCAGGATTGCTCAGGACCCTTGGAGAGGACCTGCTCTGGTGTGGTAGCTTCCAAAACAGTCTTTGTGAAGCTGGAATATGCATTCTTCTAGAACTTAGTAACTGTCCCCATTGTTCAGCTAGCATGATTCTGGGACGAAGAGGAGCTGCAATTGTGAGTCTAGGTGTGGGCACACACGATTCCCCTTGGACTCTGCTGATCTGCTGACTCTGTGTGCATTAGGAGAGGTGATGCTGGAACCTCTGCTTAGATTCAGAGCCAGCTGAGGCACATGTGATACTGACACTGGCAGAGGAAGGTTTCGGGGAACAGGAGAAAGGTGCTTTAACGAGTTGTATACAGAAGCACAGAAACGCTCCTGAAATTCAGAAAAATGAGCTGAAGTATGTTTCCTATTTCGTCATTGAAAAAAGCACCAGCTTTGTAGATTTCTGGAATCTGCCTCTCAAGCTACGTTGTGAGTTAATGCAGCTGAATATGAGCAGTCTCTCTGAGGAGGGGGGAAAGGGCAGTGGGACAAGGGGGCAGAGGTGAGCCAAGTCCAGCTACATTCAGTTAATTTGCTGCTTACAAGAGGTGCTTTCCAGAGGAGCTGTGGTTTCAGTGGGCAAACAGATGGAGAGACCGGGAGAAGGAGCCGGGTACCACAAAATCTGCCCTCTCTTCTTCTGTGCCCACTTGAGTACTCAGCAGGGTGATTATTATCTGGTTGAAGCAGGTATGATCCGAGACATCTACGTCAGATCTGAAGCTCTAAGGCTGAAGAAAAAAGACTGGGTTGGGTCCACCAGTCCTGTTACAGGGCCAGTACTGCAGAGCAGATCCCTGAAGGCTCCTACCAGGACAGCTGATGCTGGCAGGCTAAGAAGGAAGATGATCAGCAGGTTCAGAAAATGGGCCAGAATAAAAGAGTGCACTTTTTTTCCCGTTATGCATTGAAGAGAGCAGGAATAAGAGATGCTTCTTAAGGAAGACTGTAGCTGTGATGCTGCCACCAGCAGCAGGACTTGTGCCTGTCCGTACCGAGAAGGAATTGAGAACTGGCCAGTGTACAGAAAGAAACAACAAAAATAGCCATGAGGTCAACACAACTGTTTGCTTCCCTATGCTCAGTGAGGTGGGGACAGGCCCTGGTTTAGCTGGCTGTGATATGCAGCACATCCAAGATGTGGCTGCGTGCTGGCTTCCACAGCCTGGTGATTTCCACCTCCTCTTCTGCAGCACTCTTACTTCTCCCCTTCAACTGTTGTTCCCTGCAGCCTTCCTGGATCTGTCTGGTGTCCACCAGATCAAGGGCACATGGAAAGGTTCCATCACTTTGCCGTGTACCTACACGCCCTCAGAAGGCTTCACACAGCACGTGCTCAGCTGGAGCATGGAGCGAGATGGTGGCTCCTCTACCATCTTTCGGAGGGACGGTTCTGGCGACCACGTTTTGCTGTCTCGGTTCCGAGAGCGGGTGAGTGTCCCAGAGCACAGCTCTGGGAATGCCTCGCTCCTCATCGAGAACCTCGAAATCCCCGACAGCGGACACTACACCTGCAAAATCACCTGGAGGTCTAAAAACAACAGCTTGATAACAAAGGAGGTGACCACTACAGTTAAAGTTGTCAAAGGTAAGTCCAGCAATAAAGCCCTGCTCTCGGGCAGCCAGTGTAATCCACAGAGCACAGGGGAGAAGCAGCAGCTGGTGGGAACAGGCTTTCACACTACACTGGCTACCCACATCCAGCTGGGTGTGGAGGCATCCTCTTCTTTTGCTGTGTTAGCTGTTCTTGTCCCCTGACAGAGGTGTAGGGATGGACTGGAAAAGGGGGATCAGTCAGCATACACCCCAGTCTGGATCTACTGACCAGCCACAAACCCGTGGTGAATGAGGCAACATCCAGATCTGATTTTGGTTTTGTGCAGGCAGCCAGCATCTCTGTGGTTCCTGTAGCAAGTGGGACAGCACGTGGGTGTTGTACTAGCCAAATCTGCCCTCTGCCCTTCCCGAGCATCCTCAGCACCTGCTGAGAACTGCCTTGCTGCACGGGGGGCACCCACCCAACAGAGCAGCACTTGTGTGATATGGCAATAGCAACGGTGGCACAGCTGGTGTAACCTGGCTTTAGGCACAGTTAAGCCAAGCTTACCATGTGCAGAAAGGTGCCATGAGAGAGCGGTGCCCCTCTTCTTCCTGGGAAAGCCCTGAAAGCCAGAGCCCCGTGGAGCAGGGGGGAACCTTCCCCAGCGCAGCCAGGGCCAGCGCCACCCGGGCCCCATGCGCTTTGTCTTCCAGCGGCGGTGACCAAGCCCGTCA